GCTCTCAGACGCTGGCTTCCTTATCCAATGGTCGTTTCCATGGCCAAACCTCAAGTGGTTTCCCCTGGCTCTCAGACGCTGGCTTCCTGATCCACTGGTCGTATCCATGGCCAAACCTCAAGTGGTTTCCCTTGGCTCTCAGACTCTGGATTCCTGATCCACTGGTCGTATCCATGGCCAAACCTCAAGTGGTTCCCCCTGGCTCTCAGACGCTGGCTTCCTGATCCACTGGTCGTATACATGGCCAAACCTCAAGTGGTTTCCCCTGGCTCTCAGACGCTGGCTTCCTTATCCAATGGTCGTATACATGGCCAGACCTCAAGTGGTTTCCCCTGGCTCTCAGACGCTGGATTCCTGATCCAATGGTCGTATCTCAAGTGGTTTCCCTGGCTCTCAGACGCTGGCTTCCTGATCCACTGGTCGTACCCATGGCCAAACCTCAAGTGGTTTCCCCTGGCTCTCAGACGCTGGCTTCCTTATCCAATGGTCGTATCCATGGCCAGACCTCAAGTGGTTTCCCCTGGCTCTCAGACTCTGGATTCCTGATCCAATGGTCGTATCCATGGCCAAACCTCAAGTGGTTCCCCCTGGCTCTCAGACGCTGGCTTCCTGATCCACTGGTCGTATCCATGGCCAAACCTCAAGTGGTTTCCCCTGGCTCTCAGACTCTGGCTTCCTGATCCACTGGTCGTATCCATGGCCAAACCTCAAGTGGTTCCCCCTGGCTCTCAGACGCTGGCTTCCTGATCCAATGGTCGTATCCATGGCCAAACCTCAAGTGGTTTCCCCTGGCTCTCAGACGCTGGCTTCCTTATCCAATGGTCGTATCCATGGCCAGACCTCAAGTGGTTCCCCCTGGCTCTCAGACTCTGGCTTCCTGATCCACTGGTCGTATACATGGCCAAACCTCAAGTGGTTCCCCCTGGCTCTCAGACGCTGGCTTCCTGATCCAATGGTCGTATCCATGGCCAAACCTCAAGTGGTTTCCCCTGGCTCTCAGACTCTGGATTCCTTATCCAATGGTCGTATCCATGGCCAGACCTCAAGTGGTTTCCCCTGGCTCTCAGACTCTGGCTTCCTGATCCACTGGTCGTATCCATGGCCAAACCTCAAGTGGTTCCCCCTGGCTCTCAGACTCTGGCTTCCTGGTCCAATGGTCGTATCCATGGCCAGACCTCAAGTGGTTCCCCCTGGCTCTCAGACGCTGGCTTCCTGATCCAATGGTCGTATCCATGGCCAGACCTCAAGTGGTTTCCCCTGGCTCTCAGACGCTGGCTTCCTGGTCCAATGGTCGTATCCATGGCCAGACCTCAAGTGGTTTATTCCCTGGCTCTCAAGACGCTGGCTTGCTTATCCAATATGGTCGTATCCATGGCCAAACCTTAAGTGGTTTCCCCTGGCTTCAGGACTCTGGCTTCCTTGATCCACTGGTCGTATCCAGGCCAAACCTTCAAGGTTCCCCCTGGCTCTTCAGGGACGCTGGCTTCTGATCCAATGGTCGTATCATGGCCAAACCTCAAGTGGTTTCCCTGGCTCTCCAGACTCTGCTTCCTTATCCAATGTTCGTATCCATGGCCAGGACCTCCAGTGGTTTCCCCTGGCTCTCAGACTCTGGCTTCCTGATCCACTGGTCGTATCCATGGCCAGACCTCAATTGGTTTTCCCCTGGCTCTCAGACGCTGGCTTGCTTATCCAATGGTCGTATCCATGGCCAAACCTAAAGTGGTTTCCCCTGGCTCTCAGACTCTGGCTTCCTGATCCACTGGTCGTATCCATGGCCAGACCTCAATTGGTTTTCCCCTGGCTCTCAGACGCTGGCTTGCTTATCCAATGGTCGTATCCATGGCCAAACCTAAGTGGTTTCCCCTGGCTCTCAGACTCTGGCTTCCTGATCCACTGGTCGTATCCGTATCCATGGCCAAACCTCAAGTGGTTCCACCTGGCTCTCAGACGCTGGCTTCCTGATCCAATGGTCGTATCCATGGCCAACCTCAAGTGGTTTCCCCTGGCTCTCAGACTCTGGATTCCTTATCCAATGGTCGTATCCATGGCCAGACCTCAAGTGGTTTCCCCTGGCTCTCAGACTCTGGCTTCCTGATCCACTGGTCGTATCCATGGCCAAACCTCAAGTGGTTCCCCCTGGCTCTCAGACTCTGGCTTCCTGGTCCAATGGTCGTATCCATGGCCAGACCTCAAGTGGTTCCCCCTGGCTCTCAGACGCTGGCTTCCTGATCCAATGGTCGTATCCATGGCCAGACCTCAAGTGGTTTCCCCTGGCTCTCAGACGCTGGCTTCCTGGTCCAATGGTCGTATCCATGGCCAGACCTCAAGTGGTTTCCCCTGGCTCTCAGACGCTGGCTTCCTGATCCAATGGTCGTATCCATGGCCAGACCTCAAGTGGTTTCCCCTGGCTCTCAGACGCTGGATTCCTGATCCAATGGTCGTATCCATGGCCAGACCTCAAGTGGTTTCCCCTGGCTCTCAGACGCTGGATTCCTGA